TAGATATTGGGACTCCTCATAAAAGATATTTCAAATCTGAATTTTTGGAAAAAGCTACTGCTGTTGATATGATAAACTTCCGTAAATGTATGAGTGGTTTAGAAGAAGATAAAATGCTTCAGGTTTTCATGGATGGTCCAAATGTTAACAAGTCTTTCCACTATAATTTGAATGCTAAGGGAAGTGAATGTGAACTCAGTCATTTAGTATCAATTGGATCATGCGGCCTTCACACATTGCACTGTTCATTCAAGAATGGTACAAATGCTTCAGGATGGAAATTTAACAAATTGCTGTCTTCATTGTATAAGATATTCCATGAGAGCCCTTCTCGTCGTGCAGATTTCAAAAATCTTACTCAAGCTCAGTCTTCAGACTATGCTCTACAGTTCTGTAGCCATCATTGGATTGAAAATGAGAAAGCAGCAAAGAGAGCTATGGAAATATGGCCCATATTTCCATAGCTCTCTTTGCTGCTTTCTATATAAGTTGCAACAACTGAAATCTAGAAAAAAGATTACTGATGCACAAATTTATAATTTTAAAACAGAAGTTCAACAGTTTTTAGTTACAATGTGCAAACATATGGTTGAAAAAAGTGCTCTAAACTCATACTTTGCCAGACACTTATTATGTTTATCACATTTGTACATGAATGAATCTCATGAGATGTGTGAACTTTATTTTGACAAGTTATTGCTGAAATTAATTATTTATAAAAAGGTATCACCTTCAGTTGCTGATCAAGCCCAATTACAGTATTCACTATTTTTAACTACTGTTGTGAAAGTGAACAAGGAAATATTTCTTGGGTTCAAAAAAGAAAGTGATTGATTGGATTCTTTTTTGGTTCAATATACAGATGCTTCAAGATTCAAGGATTTAATGAAAATTTACCAGTTGCTACTAATGTTGTCCCATGGCCAAGCACAAGTAGAGCGTGGATTTAGTATAAACAACCAACTTCTGGATAATAATATGCTAACTGATACTCTTGTTGCACAGAGAATTGTTCATGACCACATGTGCAGTGAAAATATAAAATCATCCCAATTGTCTATGACAACTAAACTTGTGGGACATGTCAAGGATGAACGAAAACTATACTTTAGCAGTCAGAAAGAGAAGTCCCTGAATGCTTTAAAAACTGACCATGATACTAAACTGAAAAATTTTAATAAAGAGATTACTAGTTATAATGAATAAATTCACTCCCTTGAAGGTACCATACTTCAGCTCAGATATGATGCAGATGAGTATGCATTGCAAGCGGAAAAGCAGAAATCATTGATAGAAATAAAGTCAACAATTCTAAAATCTAATGCACTAAAGAGAGTTGCCTTTGAAAAGCAGGACTTACTAGAAAAAATTACAGCAGCAAAAAAAGTTATTGACAAAAAAGCTGAGGTTTAGATTTGGATGTTTAAGTTTTTTAATCGTTTTGTTTTTCTGATTTGATTATTTCTTTTTATGACGGGATAATATAAAACATAAATTTTAGTTTGGCTGTGTGTTTTAATGATTTTTGATTATTTATTGTTTGTTACTTAGCCATAAAGCCATCTTTCTAGCGCAATGTTAAATTTGTTAAATTGCAAGTATGATTTGTTTCAAGTTAATATTTTTGTATGTGTAGAGATGTCAGACTATTTTAAATAACAGTGTTTGGGCCCTAATTTTATCTTAATTATTTTAGCTAGGCATTCTTACAGTTTTTATATAAAATGAAAATTTTTCAGTGCCACTTTATTTTTGAAATCCTCCTAAAATCTCCTATGATTTTTATCCTTTTTTTTTTTTTCAAATTTCCCGATAAATCTCCTTAAAAACCTTTTAAAATCTCCATTATTATCCTAAATTATCCTAATATTTTTAGACAAAAAATGTGTGGCCACCCTGTTTACCTATAGCTCTTCATTGTTCTGTAGGATAATGATTTTTTGATTTATTTACACAGCCTTGGTCACCTGCCATTAAAAAAAAAGTAAAAAGAAATTTTTAGTTCCAGCCAGAAGCAAATTGATCTAAAAGACACAAATAAGGCTTGGTTGAAGGGCTGGTGTGATCGCACTTGATAATTGACCATGGAAATAATATTTAGCTTATTTAACATCAGGTATACTAATATTAACTGGAATGCGAAAATTGATCCAATTATTCCACCAATAAATTTTTGGAAAAAGGAAACTGCTCTTTCTCCCACGTCATTTACAGCACCTAGTGCAATTTTTAAAACTGAAGATGAAGCGATTCCAATTGATTGAACTAACTTTTCATATAAGTGAGATACTCCATTAAGCGAATCTTTAATAGCACCACCAATGGCTTTAATATTCTGGCTTCCACCACTTGCGGTGGTATTTAGGGCACTACCTATAGCCATACTAATACTTGTTAGGACATCACCACTATTGGTGTCACCAATAGTTTTTAATGTCTGAAGTGTTTCATGTGATCCTAAAATCAATTGCAAGACTGTGTAAGGTGAAAGTTCTTGGAGTTTTTTGACAAGAAAGTCTTTATTATAACCTCCAATATGGGGAATTGGGATGTCTGGTAAAGATAGCATGTGGTCTGTCTGGGTCTCCACAATTTTAGCACGTCTGTATGCTGATATTTCGTATATAATATTTAAATTAGGGTCCTTTAGGTACGTGTGCTTTGGTCTAAGTTGACAGGGTATGCGGGGACTGGTCCTTATCAAATATCTATCACTAACCTCTAAGAAATAAGTTATGTTTGAATTCGGCAAGGTAATAGAAAAGTGTTCAAAACAAAAATTAACAATCTTCCGGTTATACTGTATGGCGTAAGTAGTGTAATTTATGCATTTCGATAATATTAACAGCTTGTAAAATAAGAAATCGAAGACGAGTGGTCAATTTGACTGGCTAACCTTTGGAATTAAAGGTCAACTGTTTTTTTTGGACGGTCAACATTTTTATTATTTTATTTGTTTTCATTTTAATCTTCATAATAGTTCTTCATCACTGAACTTTAAAAATACAAAAATAACTTAATATTTGATAATTAACGAATTAGTATTCCATTTTTAAACTTGCAAATAACTAACATTAAAATTACACGCCAATGGTAATAGTTTAGAATTAAGCCAGCTGATTTTCATTTCATTTCTTATAGGAAGTTTGATAAGTTTTTTAAAGGAAGTTTTCATAAATTTGATAACATCCAATTCATTTAATTAGTGACGTCACTTACCAACGCCACTATTAAACTAATTATGTTTGTCACTAATTAACAGATTAAATTATATTATATATATAAATTATATTATAATTAACAGATTAACTTATATATATATATATATATATATATATATATATATATATATATATATATATATATATATATATATATTTATATATATTTATATATATATATATATATATATATTTATATATATTTATATATATATATATATATATATATATATATATATATATATATATATATATATATATATATATATATATATATATATATATAACATTTAAAGACATTAAAATATATAATGACATTAAAAAATAAAAATAAAATAGTTTAAACAAATAAGCGCTTATTAAACGATTATGTTTTTTTTTTTTTTATTTCTTAATGATAGTAACTACGCTTAAGCTTAGTTATTATCATTTTAATTTTAATTTCGATTTAAATATTATCAATTCTGTTTATTTAACTTTTACTAAAAGTTAAATGAACAGTTTTACTATTAATATTCACTTTGCTTTAAGACGCCCTTTTTTAACAATTGAATTTAAAAAAATTATTTATAATAAAAATATTGTGTAGAATAAAGTTACATTTACTATGGATTTTTTAAAAAATTTAAGA